GAGGAGATTGCCTATCTTTCTCCCATAGACCAACTGAGAGACTTTAACTGCCTTTGGGTTGGCAGCACAACTTCTTAATACTTAGCCACCAGAACCTCCCTGACCAGCAATACAGTAAAATATCTGCTTGTTTGCACATGTAGTAGTAATTACTTTTTATATCCTATGCCTTTACTATTCAGAGATGATGTCCCCGTGTGTCATATAAAGTAAATGCATTTCAGAAAGTGATCTCTGTTCATTGCCAGCATAATGTTTATCATTTGTGGGGATAGTTTTACAAGCCTTAGCGAGTTTTATCTATTTTGGCTTTGAGGAGAACATATTCTTGAATGGTGCCTGCATACGTTTTTATCTATTTTAGGAACAAATATCTTCAGTTACATCAAGAAAGCATTATATGTTTGTTCTAGAAAAGTTCTCCAGACAGTCCCTGGACTGTCCCAGAAAGAAGAGTTCCTAGAAAGATACCATTCATCCCTGTCTTTAAGTCTAATTTGTAGGTAAGTCTCAACAGGTACATATGGTTCAGTGTGCATCAGTTAGTTAAATGTTAAGGAACTCTAGTGATGTAGTTCACAGGGAGTTGTGCTGCTAACCCAAAGGTGTTATATATATATTTGTTGTTGTTGTATACCATTGAGCTGAATCCAACTCAGAGTGACCCTATGTACAACAGCTCTGAACCCTACTCTACCCCGAGCCAATTTCAATACCTCTGACCTACCCCCCCCATTAGTCAATCCATCTGATTGGGGGTAGGGTCTTCATCTCTTGTGCTGTCTTTCTACCCTCCCAAGCATGATGTCCCTCTCTAAGGATTTATCCCTCCTTGTGACATGCCCAAGTATATCAGACAGCCTCCAAATCCTTGCTTCCAGTGAGCAGCCTTGGTTCTAAAGAGCACGCTCTCCAGGACAAACCTATTTTTCTCTTAGCAGTCCATGGTATATTCAATGCTCTTCTCCAGCACCACAACTTAAAGGCTCCAGCTCTCTGATGCATAGCAAGTAATTGCGAAGACCATGGATCAGGTGCACCTGAGTCTTCTGACTGACATCATTGCTCTTTAGTATTCTGGAGAAGTTCCTGAAAGCAGATTTTCCCAATGCAGTCTATCTTTTTATTTCCTGGTTGCTGGTACCAAGAGTGTTGATCGTGAAACCAAGCAAGCTGAAGTTGTTAACAATTTCTTTCTGTTCTCCGTCTGTCGTGTCACCACCAAATTGCCCAGTGGTGCGAATCTTTGTTTTCTTGATGTTGAGTTTCAATCCATATTGAATATAGATGTTACCTATATACATATCTGCACATAAACACTAAGAATTATTCTATACATACTAAATAATCTTAAATAGAAACAGTTATTAAGAACATAATAGTAAAGGTAACCACATATTGTACTGTACTGGAAGAGAATCTGTGTATATGTACTGTAAAACTATAATGATATACAGTTCTATAAAAAGAAAATAGTTTTTAAAGAGGTTTAGATAGGAAAAAGACTGATTAAAGATTAACACACACATTCTGTGGTGTCTTGCATACCAGAAGGGGGCACTTATAAGAAACAGTATAATAAGTTATAATGAATAACGTTAGATGGTGCGTGAGAAGATTATAGATGGCAACTGTTGGGAATAATGGGTCTGCTGTGAGGCTTCATCTGGTGCTGGAGAGTCAGAGGTTTTTTATTCTAGAGAAAGGGAATTTATTTCTGGAGTCAATTTCTTGAAGTAGGCAACCAGGAAGTCTTGTACAGAGCTTCTCTTTTTCTTGTCATCAGTAGGCTTGTAGTAGCTGAAACTCTTGAACCTGTATGGCAAACCTGCTGGACCTCTATGTTAAAACCTCGGCTCCTCTAACTTTGCCACACTTGTTTCAACAAGGCAAAATGCTTCAATTAACTCTTCATAAAAAACATGGGAGGGAGTTTTTCATTTTCTCTTTTCTACTTTAAATATTATTGTCTGCTAGTCTCGTTCTGTAAGGTCTTCTTCACCAATTAGTTCTTTGGCATGAGAGTTGAGCAATTCTATGACATTTTCACTGATAACATCATTGCAGTTGATTGATTACCAGTATCAACCACAGCTTGCCTATGGTATTGACTCCCTGCAGTGATAGGCTTAAGTACAGCAGAGATTGTGATGATGGTGCAGGACCAATAGGCAGCGTCATGATGGATGGAGAGGAGACTGGAACTATCAACAGCTTCATCTTGCTTGGATCCACAATTAACACCCTTGGTACCAGCAGTCAGGAAATAAGGAGACACATTGCATTGGAGAAATCTTAGGTAGGGACCTCTCCAAATTATTGAGGAGTAGTGATGTCAGTTTGAGGACTAAGGTGCATCTGATTCAGGCCCATGGTCTTTCCGATTACTAGCTGTGTATCCGAGACCTGTACAATGAATAAGGATGACAGAAAAAGAATTGACCCCTTTGAGCTGTAGCATTGGAGAAGAGCACTGAACATCCCATTGATGGACAAGAGAATGAACAGGAGTGTCTTAGAAAGGGTGCAGCCAGAGTGCTCTTTGGAGGCAAGAATGATAAGGCTTCACCGCACATACTTTGGACATATGCCAGGAGGTGTTATTCCTTGGAGAAAGACATGATGTTTGTTTGGAAGGGCGGAGGGTTGGCAAAGGAGGGGAAGACCCTCATTCAACCAGGTAGATTGGCACAGTGACTGCTATAATAGGCTCTTGTGTGTCAGGAAGTGTGAGGATGGTTGATGGCACCTGACAACAAAAATGAAACTGTCAACAAATTTTTCATTTTAATAGTGAATCCATTATTTAATAGTATTTATCTTTGATCAGGATAGAGCCTTTCACATGATTCATAATTCTCATTTTAACCTATAAAATTATTCTGACCATTGATCAGTTGTAGCCTGATAGATTTCTAATGGTTGATGGCATTTCACCTCTTTTATGTTGCTTTATTATTTCTTCTTTATCCTCAGTCATCATAATTTACGTGTCTGATGCATCACTAGCAGTTATACCAGATTTATGCTTTGGAAACATCCTAAAAAAATATGGGAGAAAACATTAGTTCAAATACAAACATACACACTTAAAATAGTGCTAAGGCAGTATGATCCAATTAAAAGGTATGCAGAATTTTTCTTCCCTGAACCAGCAAGCTGTTAAAATCTCACGATGTTTTCACAAGTGTCACAACAGTAGTGTGTGTATGTATAATTATGAACCATTTCATTTTGCTCAAAATTTTGAAAGTTGCTATTGCTGGTAGGTAGCACTGACTGACTCATTTCTGATTTATGAGCAACACTATCTACAGCTGGCTGGTCCTGCCCCCTCCTCTTGCAATAATTGTTATATTGGAGTCCATTGTTGCAGCCACTGTGTTAATCCATCTCATTGAGAATCTTCCTCTTTTCTCACTGACTTTCTAATTTACTAACCATGATTTCCCGAGTCTGGTCTCTCCTTATAAACCATCCAATTGCATAACACCCTGCAAACTGTTAAGGTAAATTCTGGCAGTGCTTCTTCCAAAATAGATTTATTTCTGGCTGTCTGTGGGATAGTCAATAATTCTTGTCAAAACTACAGTTCAAAGACATAATTTTCTTTCAGATTTTTCTTTTCTTTTAATCATCCAGTTTTCTTATGCTATGAAGCAATAAAAAAATACCATGACTTGGGGCAGATGCACCTTAGTCCTCAAAGTAACAGCCTTGCTCTTTAGCACTTTAAAGGACTCCTTGGGCAAAAGATTTCTCCAATGTGGTTTCTCATTTGATGTCTTGATGACTCTTTTCCTTGGTGTTAATTTTGAACCTAGGTAAAATTTAAGCCTTGACAACTTCAATATTTTCCTCTGTTTATCATGATATATTTTATTGGTCTAGTAGTAAAGATTTTTGTTTTGGGGATTTGATGTGCAATCTAAAGGAAGACTGTAGTCTTTGGTCTTCTTTAGTAAGTGCTTCAAGTTCCCTTGATTTCTGGCAAGCAACATTGTCAGCTGCATATTTCACCTTATTTTTCATTTTCCCTCCAGTCCTATTAGCTATGCTCATATTGTCTCACTTTTTGGATTATTTATTAGTATAGTAAATGAGAAATCTCTTCTCATATGATTAACAGACTCAGAAAACCCTCTGGAAGGTCCTGTGAATCAGGCTCAACTTGATGACAATGAGAGAGAAGTTTTTAACAAGTGTAGGATGAATGATTTTCATTGTTATGTAATCAGTTCCAAGTCATGACAGTCTCTCCTTCAGGGTTCTGTTAATCTTACAAGAAAACTGCTACCTCCTTCTCCTATGGAGCAGCTGTTGGATTCATACTACCAGCCTTTCAGTTGACAGCTCAGCACGGAAAATATACTGTGCCATCAGGGCTCCTTAAAATCTTGTCTCCTATAGTATAGTGACGATTGGGTGGAAAATCTCTTAGAAATTCAAAGAAGGGCAGGAAAAAAAATTGATCTTGGACTAAGCAGTTGTCATATATTTTCCGTAAAAGAAATATGAAAACAACCATGAATTATCTGCATATCTAAAGGCGACAGACTGATTTTGTAAATCCATTTATTAAACTAACCTTCAGTGTAAGTACTTTATTGGTAAGGAAATAGCACCACCTTTTGGCCCTGTCTTGAGATGGAAAATGATAAATGGGAAAGGAGAGGAAGGGGAAGGGTGTCTGATACGTAATTTTTCTTGCATTTGCAGTGACGTAAGTGATTTTTAATTTATATTTACCTTTTTTATGCTAATAAATACTTTGAAAGCTAAAATAGAATACACTAGTGACTTTTTTTTCGGATTCTTTTTCATTTGTTTTTTCACTAACAGTTTATATAATTAATTAGTCTGTCCAGAGAAAATTTTACTTCCCCTGTTCCTCTTGAATTTTTTAATTGTTTTAAGTCTCTGTGATTTCTCTTGTTGTATTTTGCCTTTTCATATTCTTATTTCTAGTTTTGACTAACTGATTATTTTTTCCCTCCTAGATGATTCTTTGGGATTGGGATTTAAAGCAGTGGTATAAACCTCATTATCAGGTAAATATAAGTAATAACATTAATAGATATCTATAGTGAAACTTTGACAGTTAAACTAATCTTGTATTTGCAAGATTTCTGTGCCATAATATTTTATTTAACTAATTAAAATAGCTAGACCTTTAAGTAGATTTACTTAAAAATAAATTTTAATAATAATATAAAAAGAAAAGAATAAAAACCCAGACTTTTAGTTAAAATACTTTGGTGGCCTAGTGATATGAAGCTGCACTTCAGTCCGATAGGCATGCAGTTCAAATCCACCATCAGCTCCATGGGAGAAGAATGAACAATTTCCTCCCATGCCATTTACTGTCTCTGAAAACCTGCTAGAGGGTGAGCTGTGGGTCGGTTCTGACTCAAAGGCACACAGTAACAACAACAATAACTATAAGATAGACTGACAATAAAAGAATATTTCTATGTTAGAGTAATGTATGGGAATGATTGTTATGAAACACTGAATGAAAGAAAGTGTGAAACAGTGTATATGAACTTTATATACAAACCACTATAAATAACTTTTTTAAAACTTAAAACTTTTCAATGAGTAATTCAATGAACATACAAAGATTTTTAAAAATAATTTTTTTCTGAATATGAACCACTGAGCGACAGAGAAAGTGGAAAAAAAATTGAAGACTACATGTGATAAAAGTAAAAACATTTGTTTTTAGGGTAGAATTTTATCACCTAATTTTCTACATCTACTGATTTTTTTTTCCATTTTTTGGTTAATATCATATCTTTGTGTGTGTGCATATATTTGCTTTTTTCCTTAAATTCTTATTGTGGGAAGATGTTTGTCAGGTATGCTTGTCTATTGTAACAGACATTTAAAGCTGTTGATTTTAATATTATTAATAGTATATAATGACTAGAAATAGCTGGCCTATGTCCCAGGAGAGAGGAATACTTTAAAATAAAAACTATGCAAAATAACACTTCACACAGGAAAAAAATTCGCAGAGAGGAAGGATATTCTTCAGCTACCAAGACCTAAATGAATTTTGTAATATTTCTCAATTCTATAATGTATGGAAGTTTTGTTGTGAACTCATTAAATAGTATGAGTACTTATGATTTATAAACTTAATTGTAGAGAACTAGAAACTCAATCACAAAATGTAAGTAATGCAGATTTACAGTGATTATTTTTATTACCAAATATGCATTTTGAAAAAAAAAATATATAACCAATAGAATATGTTTGCCAAATTGTACTTCCTAAAAACTAAAAATGTTCTTTCCTACCAGTTGGTGAGGGCCTAGCCAGTGCTACCCAACTCATGAAATTTTTGTTAACTGTATGGCTCAAAATTACTTCTGATACTCTATGGAACTCTGATACCATATTATTTTTATATTTATCGTACCACTATCTATAACGTTGGCTGTCATAGTACTATTTATTGTACTTAAATGTATGTGCTGTATGTTTTATTGCCCTGCTAAATAATCCCTATTTTACAGTGGTGGGGAAAAATGTTTTTTAAGAAGTTCAGATGTTAGATAATTTGTTCAAAGTCACAGAGTTAAAGTCTAGACTTCAAATTTAATTTCAAATTAAACTTTGTCACTAAACTAGCTTGCTGCTTAAGTGAGCAAGTAAGTGAAAGTATTAGTATACATGACTGAAAGCTGTTTTGGCATAAAGGAAGGAAAATTCTCAATAAATAAATGAAAAGTTTGAATTACAAATTTTTAAAGTGTAGATTTAATTCTAATTTAATTTAATTTTAATTGGGATACAAATGCAGGTAAATCCCAGTAAGCAAATCTAACAAAAAAGAATTCTCATTCATGATACTATTCTATATAACTTTTAAAATTAGAATTATGCTGTTTGTTGTATTATTTATTCCATGTTCAAATAAGTGAAGATTTACATTTAAATAGATTATATTATCTACAGCAGGAGTGGCATTCACTTCGTAAACAACATGCCTCTGAAAACTATAATGATATTTATAAAAAGGCTTCAGGCCTTTTGTTCTCAGGGTCTCTATGAGTTGTGGTCATGACAGCAATCAACAACAACAAATTATATTAAGGCACATGGTTCAAATCCTTGAAGGGTCAAGTATGATTAAAGTTTTTCTTTAATTTAGATTTTCTGTATAACAAATGTAATTTTACCTTTTTCTTTTCTAGAATTCTGGAGGTGGAAATGGAGTTGATCTTTCAGTTCTAAATGAAGCTCGCAATATGGTGTCAGATCTTCTGATTGATCCAACCCTTTCCCCACAAGTTATTTCTTCTCTGCGGAGTATCAGTAGCTTGATGGGTGCGTTCTCAGGTTCCTGTAGGCCAAAGATTAATCCTCTCACACCGTTTCCTGGATTTTACCCCTGCGCTGAAATGGAGGACCCAAATGAGAAAGGAGATCGAAAACTCCACAAGGTGAAAATGTAGTAATCAGCCAGTCCTGCTTATCACACTTAATAATATATTCAAATTAAAATGGCTCATTGATAGAAAATAGGAATTCTTGTGGTATAGTGTGTAACATGCTGGGCTTCAAGCCAGGTCAGCAGTTCAACATTACCAGCTACTCTGAGAGAGAAAGATGGGTAGTCTATTCCTATGAAAAATCACAGCCTTACAAACTCGGTGCAGGTTTGCAGTGAGTGGACATTGATCCCATGGCAGTGGCTTTGGCTTGAGTTTTTTGTAAAATAGAATAATTTCATTGTCAGGGTTCACCTTCTTTTGTATGCCATTGAGCCCCACGGGACTTTAGAGGTAGATCTAAGTGCCAGGAGTTCTAGATAAGTGTTTAGTTTTACAATAAATAACACTGTTGTCATTCAAATAAGGTGAAGTTAATGAATATTTATCAATGGTAAGAAATAAAGAACAGCAAACAAACTTCATACCTGTACAGACTAGAAAGAACCCTGGTTTTGTGGTATTATGTGCTGGTCTGTAGACTTAAAGATCATCACTTAGAATCCACCAGCCAGATCTTGAGAGGAAATCTGGACAGTCTCTTCCTGTTAAGATTTACAGTCTCAGAAACCCAGTGGAGGGTAGTGTGGAGTCAGAGCTGATGCGAAAGCAGTTGTATTTTTTTAAAAGTACAGACTAATAGTCAAATCATGTTATTAATCTTTTTTATACTTTATACTTCATGAATTATTGTTCTTAATAACCAGCAAGAAATTAACATTCTAATGTTCATTTTATTATTACGTAGCATTATTGTTCACTTTTCCCCCCTATGCTTTTGCTCACTGGATACTGAAGCCTAGTTGACACTGATTTTTCAATCTTTGATATGGGATTAGTTTTTTTTAAAATAGGAATGCTGCAAAATTGGCTCTTCTTTACAAAATAGCAGCATCTCCAGTAAGTAGGCATTATACTTGCTCAGCTCACTTTACTTTTGCTGACGCTCAGTGTCCTTACCATTGACTACAATGAGAAAAATTTAAAACAAAAACATTTTAGAGATTATTATTGCTCAGCTACTGTATTCTATGATTAAGAGATGATTAAAGTTAAATTTTTATTTAAAATTTATTTAAATTAGGAAAATAAGTTAAAGTTGTTAATTGTAACAGTTTGTACAGAGATAAGAGAAAGTAAAATGTAATTTAAATTTTTTTAATTTTTTCATCACTCAATTTCTTTTTGTTAATTCTCAATGCCAGGACTTAGAATGTTGAAAAAGTAAGAAGTAAACCTGTTTTAGAGCAAAAATAATTTAAAAATTATTATTGATCATAATTCCAATCATAAGTCATTATTTTATGCTTTTGTATTTTAGACTTTGTGTAACACCTGTATTAGTTAAATCTCAGTTAAAAATTGAATGTAATTATATGACATTTTTTTAGCACTCCATCTTAGGAGGAAGGCTAATCATATGCTTTCAAAAGGAATATTAACAAAATAATTATTTGATATGTTCATGAGTTACTATGAAGTCTAATTGCTCTTTCTTTTCTATTGGCATTTGATGTTTAGCCTAATAATTCTTAATCATAAAAGGTCATATTGACTTCAGTATTATGTGTGTTGTTAAGTTTATTAAGTAGAAAAATGTATTGGCACATTTTAGAAACATTTTAAACAATAAAATGAATTAAACAAGAAACTTTAATGCCTCATTTCCTAAGCATTCTGGTTTATCAGGCTTATTTTTGGTACTGATATCTACTGATAGGAGTGAATCATGTAATAATCAGGAAATAACTCCTATTCCCTTTCTTTGTGTTCTTTAAACGCCTTGTTTGAATAGCATATCTAACCTATTTCTGGTTTTTAGAAAATAATGTAAGATCCTTATGTTATTTTAGAAAAGGAAAAGAGAGTTGAAACATGTTATAGATATTCTATATGTGTTGAGAGCTAAGAAGATTGTTTTTTAGCCTAATGTACACCTAGTGAAAATCATGTTAAGCTTGACTGTGTAACCAGGAACCTGTAGAAACTCAACATCTTTGGGAAAGATGTTTATCTCTCTGTAATTGTTTCAGTGTGTGCTGAAAGAGGAGATTATTCGAAAGCAGAAATCTTTACGTAAATATTAAAAAAAAACAACTTAAAAACTCAAAACTCATTGCCACTGTCAAGTCAGAATTGACCTTGAGCTTGACGCTCAGCACCTAAGTCACCCTGAAGGAGACTGTCCATCTTTTTCCCTCAGAGCAGTTGGTGAATTTGAACCACCTGACTTTGGTGTGTCAGTGCAACTTCTTATTCAACCAGGCCACTCACTAATAAAATAAACACTTATTAAAATGTGGTTATTCTATTTAGTTGACCATTTGGATAATGTATAGTGGTTATAAGGAGCCCTAGTGGTGTAATGTGTTACGTATTGGACTGCTAACCAGAAGATTGGTGATTAGGTTCCACCAGCTATTTCTGTGGAAGAAAGCTAATATAATACGGCTCATAGATGTACAGCCTGAAACCTGATGGAGGATCACTGTGAGTTAGAATCAACTTAATGGCAGTGGGTTGGGTTTGGTTTTATAATATTTACTAATATTAGCAGAAATAATACTAGTGCTAAGTTCTCAATAATTAATTAGAAAGTAACTCAGAATGCCACATTTTTCTTCATATTAATTTCATGTACATTTTCCTAGAAATATAAAAGTTTCAGGATATTAGGGTAGATCTTCCCTCATCCTAAGCTTTTCCTCTGAAGCAGTTTTTCAGAGTGAAGTCTTATGTGTCCATATTTTAAATGTCACTTGTTTGCATGATTTTGTTGATATTTTCATGTGCCGTCTTCAATATTACATGTACACCACATTAGAAGATGAATGCTTTTAACTATTGTTCAATTATTCAACAGGGACTAAATAGTAGGAGTACTTTACCAACACCACAGCTGAGGAGGAGTTCAGCAACTTCAGGGCTGACACCTGTTGAACTGTCTTCTTCAAGATGGGAACGTAATAATGGCAAAAGACTCCATCAGGAATTTGGTATATCAAGGTAAAATCCCTAGAGCCCTTTACAGAAATCTGAATTTAATACGTTCACTTTGTTTCTGTGACTAAAGTTTGAACATCATTTTAAATGAAGAAAGAAAAGGTTGACATAGTTTAGGTATAGATAGCTTGAGTAGTAACAGTATGGCATAATAAAGAAACAAACGGTTTTAAAAGGAGCTTCCAGGCCTCTGCTAAAACTTAGCTAGCTTGTGTACTAAGTATGGTGGTCATTGAGGAGTTTTAAGGAAATGAGGATCAATGTAGGACGGGGTATTGGGAAAGCCATTGAACCCGCAGAAGTGGACATTCACCAGTTGAATACACGGTGTCCAGACTGTCACTGATTTGCAAAAGGAGAGCAGATTGACAGCGTTTTTTCTCAGACAGTGGGTGTAAAGCAACAAATCTCTCAAACCCTGTTCCTACCAGAAGGCTGAGGTTACACTATTTTACATGATATACTCTATGTTAAAGATTTAGTTGGAGCTGCTGTTAGCTGCTGTCAGGTCATGGTGACCTTATGGAACACAGTGTTGCCACGCCCTACATCATTTTCATGATTGTTAGAATACTTGTTCTTAGCCCACCTTACTGGGAGTTTCTCTCTGATGTTGGGCTGCTAACTGAAAAGTCAGTGGTTTAGATCTACCATCTGTTCTTGGAAGAAAGTTGAGACAGTCTGTTCCTTGTAAGACTTACAGCAGTAGAAACATAATTCTCCGTGAGTCTGAATCACCTTGCCAGCAGTGGGATTGATTTGTTTGTTTGTTGCCAGCAGTGGGATATTTTTTAAAAAAAATTATTTTATATTGGTTTGCTTACAAAGTTCATAGACACTGTGTTTATGCTATTCTTCACTCACATTCTGTTTCATGCAATCATTCCCATGCATTACGTTTTATAAAATTAATCACCATTGGACCTTTCCCATCATTACACTGTCTTTTCAGGTCCCTGTTGGATTCTTCACCCTTCTTTGACCCCCTCCCACCACCCACCACACTGTGCAGCCCTGGGGTTTCGCTCTTACCCATCCTCATCCCTTTGCTTCCACCTCTTCCCTCTTTGGATCCCCATACAAGTTTTACTAGTTATCCTTCTATTTTTATAGTAATAGTATTATGCAGTATTTGTCCTTGTGAGACTGAGTTAGTTCACTCAGCATAATGCTCTCCAGTCTCTCCCAAGTTATGTAGTATTTTTAAAAAAATCATTGCTCCTGAGTGCTGCACAGTATTCCATTGTGTGGCTGTACCATAATTTCTCAATCCATTCAGTTGTGGTTGGACATTTGGGCTATTTTCATGTTTTTGCAATAGGGAATAATGCTATGGTGAATATTGATGAACATATCTCCGTTTGTATCTCAGTTCTGATTTTCTTGGTACATTCTTAGTAGTGGAATAACTGGGTCATATGGAATGTCTGTGTTCAACTTTTTGAGGAAACATCCAACTGTCTTCCAGAGTGGCTGTATCATTTTACAGTCCCATCAACAGTGTATGAGAGTTCCTACCTTTCCACATCCTCTCCAACATTTATTGCTTGCTGCCCTGCTCAACATTGCCAAACAGTGGGATTTTTGTTTGTTTTATAATTTACCAAATATAATGCTCTTTTCTAGAATAGTCTTTCCTGACACTACTCATCTGCCACTTCGTTGTCTTACAGTGGTGGGTTGCATGATGCCCTGATTCTAAAAGCTACACCATCAGTATTTAAAATACCAACAGAATCAGCCATGGTGGACACGTTTCAATGGTACTTTCCGACTGAGATAAAACAGGAAGAAACAATGCTATTCTTATAGAAGGAGGGCATTACTAACTCAGTGAGGCTGACAAATGTAGGAAGTGGAACCTTCTAAATTGTAAATACATCTTGATAAAGGAGTCAACACTGTGTTTCTGAAAGCCAGGAAAGATGTTGATCCCTTGTGTCGTTTTTTTGAGTTCTGTTTCTCAGGGTTACTCTGGTGCCTTAGTGGTAAGAAGTTGTGCTGCCAACCCAAAGGCACATGGTTAGACTCCACCAGCAATCTCCTCCCGTGAACTTTATTGCCAGAGAAAACCTGCTAGGAAGGTCAGCTGTGAGTTGAGGGTACACAGCAAGCATTCATTTATCCTTGGTAATAAAACCGGTATAAGTGTAAATGGGGCTGCGCATGAAACCAACCTCTGAGCGCCTCTTGTCCTTAGGTTTGAGCAGTAAGTGTAGTTGCATATTTTAAACAGTAGATGGCAGAGTGGGATAACAGCTATTTATCTGTTAAAATTTATGTTAATATTTTTATGTGAAAATTGATCGAACAGCTACAATTTTTCAGGATCTTTTGTGGTTTATTAACTTAAATATTTTAAAATAACAATCAAATAGAGGAACTCTTTACTTTTAAAAGCAAAATTGACATAAGAAATAAACCAGGTATGGAATGAAAGATGAAGAGCGTAGTATGGGAAAATGAGGATAGAAAGAAATTTATCCAGAGTGTAAGAATGATAGTGGTTCTTTGTTTTTTTTTAAGATACAGAGTGTGTGTGTGTATGTGTGTATGTATATATAATGGAACTAGGTTACATGAGGAAATAAAATGTATTTCTAGTCATGGGAAACATGATCATAAGAATGAAACACTGACTAGGGGGTTAGTGGGAAGGAGATTGTGAACTACACTGGGTTTGATGTCAGAGGAGATGACACCAAAATGGGTGTGTGTCTGTGTAGTGTTTCTGTAGAAAATTTCAATTTTTTAAAAGAAAAATAATCTTTGTGTTTTGCCCATTTTGTAACTGGGCTATTAGGCCTTTATTTGTTGGTGCCTTGTAGTATTCTGTAAACATTCATTATGAGACTCTTGTCTGAGGAGGTGGTGGTGTTATGTGCTGTCAAGTCACCTGAGACTCATAGTGACCCTATGTACAACAGCCCTAAACCCTGCTCTATTTTGTGCCTATCTCATTGTCTCTGACACACCTAACCCCATTGCCCCAGTCACTGAATCAATCCACCTTATAGAGAGTATTCCTCTTCTGTGCTGTCCCTCCACCCTCCCAGCATGACGTCCCTCTCCAAGAACTGGTCCCACCTTGCAACATGTCCAAAGTATGTCAGAAAAGCTTCAGAATCTTTCCCTCCAAGGAGCAGCCTGGCTTCACTCTCTCTAGGACAAACCTGTTCATTCTTTTAGCAGTCCATGATATTTTTCTGCAACACCACAGCTCAAAGGCATCAATTCTCCTATCATCTCTAGTCATTGTCCAGCTCTCTGGTGCATTAGCAAATGAGTGCAAAGACCGTGACCTGTATCAAGTGCACCTTAGTCTCCAGACTGACATCATTGCTCTTCAGTACTTTAGACAGGTCTCTAACTGCAGACTTTTCCATCACAATAGGTCTTTTAATTTCCTGGCTGCTGATACCAACAGTGTTGATTGTGGAGCCAAGCAAACTAAAGCTGTGTACAATCTCAATCTCTTCACCATCCATTCAGATTCTTCCAATAGACCCAGTGGTGTGAATCTTTGTTTTCTTGATATTTAGCCTCAATCTGTACTGAAGGCTGCAGTCCTGACCTCCCCAGTAAGCACTTCATGTCCTCCTCAGTTTCAGCAAGCAGGGTTGTGTCATCTGCATAATGCAGATAATTGATGAATCTTCTTCCAATCCTGATGCCACATTTCTCCTCATAGAGCCCAGCTTCCCAGATAATCTGCTCTGCATAAAGATTGAAAAAGTATGGAGCTAGGACACATCCCTGGCATACACCTGTCCCAATTTTGAACTATGCAGTGTTTCCTTGCTCTGTTCTGATGACTGCCTCCTGGTTCAAGTATAGGTTTCACATTAACCTGTTCTGGGATTCCCATTCTTCTCAGAGTTAATCACAATTGACCAAAGGTTTTTCCCCCAGTCAGTAGGTTTCATTTTTACCCTATTGGAAAAAATTTTTAATGCACATAGGGATTAAACTTTAGAAGGTTTCATTGATCAATATTATCCTCTCTTAGTTGTGCATTTCTGAATGTATTTGCCAGTCTGTTTATACCAGACTAGAAGGCTAGGCCTTCTAAGTTTGGTTCCATTTTGTCTCTTTATGATCTTTATGACTTGGGGCTTTAGTCCCAGGTCTCTCATCATTTTCATGTATGGTGTGAGATGTGTATACTTCTTCAGCTTTCTGCAGGTAGAAATCCAGTTTTGCCCAGTAACATTTGTTGAAAATGTTGTTGTTTCCTCATTTGATTTTGTTTCCTTATCAAATAACCCGTTTGCTATAGGTAAACATTCAGATGGCTAATAGACACATGAAGATATGCTCAAAATCACTGTCAATAAGAGAGATGCAAATCAAAACAAGAAGAAGAAGATACCATCATACCCTAGTAGCAGTGGCAAAGTTTAACAGGACAACAAACAGTAAATGTTGGAGGGAATGTGGAGAGATTGGAACTTTCATACATTGGTGGTGGCATTGTAAAATGTACAACCACTCTGGAAGGCAGTGTGGCATTTCTTAAAAAAGCTGAACATAGAAATTCTATGTGCTACATCTATTCCACTGCTAAGAATATACTCAGATGAAAACAGAACAGAGACAGATTTGTACACTGATGTTCATAGCAGCATTATTTACAATAGCCATAAAATGGAAGCAGCCCAAATGTCCATCAACAAATGAATGAATCGAGAAATTATGGTACATTCACACAGTGGAATACCATTCAATACTGAAGAACAATGATTTAGAAAAATACCATGTAACATTGAAGAGTCTACAGATCATTATGCTGAGGACAAATATTCCACAAGATCATTATTGTATAAAATAGAAGAATAAGTAAGATGTGTCTAAAAATCCAAAGGGGAAGAAAAAAGGGTAGGGGAACTGAAGGTGGGGAGTGTGGGAAACCACAGGGTCACAGAGTTTGATGAGCAGAGGGAGGCGGAAATAGATCTAATGGCAACCTGACAAATTGGGGTGATAGTGAGCATAGATCAATAGGGATTGCTTTTATAAAATGCAATGTATGGAAATAATCAAATGAAATACAAGGTGGATGAAGGAATGTTTGAAGCACAATGTATGTGAATGAATATGTGTGTGTGTGTGTGTGTGTGTGTGTGTATGTGTGTGTGTATGAATTTTGTATGCAAACCAATGTAAAAGAAAAAATACATATCCTTAAAAAAATACTGAGACACGAATGGAGATGTGTACACCAGTGTTCATAGCAGTGTTATTCACCATTGTAAGAACCTGAAAACAGCTCACATGTTCAACCACAACTGAATGGATTGAGAATTTGTGGTACATTAACACAATGGAATATTATGTAGCACTCAGGAGCAATGATTTTGGAAAATACTACATAACTTGGGAGAGATGCCGAGTGAAGTGACTCAGTCTCATAGGACAAATACTGCATAAGACTATTATTGTAAAAATAGAAGGATAACTAATAAGACTTGTATGGGGACCCAAGGGAGGAAGGACTGAGTGGAGAGTGGTGAAGATGAGAAGGGTGAAATCACAGGGTTGCACAGTTTGGTGGGTGGACGGAGGGGATGAAGGAAATGAGAAAGATCTGGCAAGGACTGGAAAAGACAGGATAATGATGGGCAAGGTCGAATGGTGATTGATTTTATAAAACATAATGCATTGGAATGATTGTATGAAACAAAATGAATGAAGAATAGTATGAAACATATATATGAACTTTGTGAGCAAACCAATACAAAATGAAAAGAGAAAAATATCTTTGTAGGAAAAGGCCCTCTATGAGGTGGATTGATTCAGTGACTGGGGTAATCGGGATGGGTGTGTAAGAGACAGTGCGATTGGCACAGGACGGAGCAGAGTTTAGGGCTGTTGTACATAGGGTCGCTATGGGTCACAAGCGACTTGACGGCACATAACAACAACAACAGTTAGTTTTAAAAACAAAAACATTTTTTCAAGTCAAACTTTTATCCATATTATCTGTAAGGGTATAACCCTATGATAGGGCACTCTGGTGGCCTAGTGGCAGGAAACTGCACCTCAATCCTGAAGGCACACAGTTCAAATCCACCAGATGCTCAGCTGGAGGAGGGGCAATCTCCTCCTGTGCCAGTCAGCTCTGACTCGATGGTACAACAAGCAAACAAAACTCTATGATAATTTACTTTTTTATTCCTTCTAATGTGCTTAGCCTCGTGGTAAGAAGTTGCAGTGCAATCCCAAAGACATTCAGTTCAAATCCACAGACTGCTAGTGAAAGAGGTTGGGCATTCTTCTCCCATGTCATTTATTGCTTCTGAAAATCTACTATAGGGTCAGCTGTGAGTTGATTTTGACTCGATGGCACACAACAAAATGCTCTTCAGGGAGTATTTGTGAACCTATATCTGAAACTTTGAGAATGAAGTATCAACTAAAGTAAAAGGTCTTCTGCTCAGTTACTAATAATGTAACTAAATATATAATTAATCAGAGTAAAAATCTCACAGAATAGTTTTGTCATCATTGTCATGTGCTGTCGAGTTGGAGCCCGCTCATAGCTGACCCTCCAGCGAGTTTTCAGAGGCTGTAAATCCCATGGGAGTAGATTGCCCATTCTTCCTCTGAGGAATAGCTGGTGGACTCAAACTGCTGTCCTCTGGGTTGACAGCACAACTCCTCAACACTAGGTCACAAGAGCTCCCTATTTATGTATTTAATTTTGTTAGTATTCATACAATATTATAAAAATTACTTTTAACAAATTTACAACTTTATCACATTAATCAGTGATTATAATTGATAATCTACATTCTTCTGTATGGTCTGGTGTGAGAAAAATGTTCACGGAGAAGATGGACGGGGTGAGTTACTGCATTGGGTGCCACTAGGCCTAATGATGCTACTGTCTGGAAAAAGTAACTGAGTTTAAAAAGGAATAATAAAAATGTTTCTGTCTATAAATCTATCATACTGATGTAATTGCAGTGTATTTGAGTTAATCATTTGCTACATAATGTTAAGGCCATTTCTTTTTTTTTTATCTTTTAAGATTTGCTGAATTTTTTTTCTTTTTTTATTATTAATTTCATTGAACATCTACAGAGATTTTGGAATTCCATTCATTCATTGTTGCACTTTTCTCCACCACCCCCCCACCCACACCCCCAGTTCACTCCTCTCCTTTAAAAGCAAAAGGCTAACTCCTTCATTGGCACACAG